GAGAGAGTATGGAGGAAGTGAATGTATTCAGATATTTGGGAGTGGACGTGTCAGCAGATGGGTCTATGAAAGATGAGGTGAATCATAGAATTGATGAGGGGAAAAGGGTGAGCGGTGCACTAGGAGTCTGTGGAGACAAAGAACTTTGTCCTTGGAGGCAAAGAGGGGAATGTATGAGAGTATAGTTTTACCAACGCTCTTATATGGGTGTGAAGCATGGGTGATGAATGTTGCAGCGAGGAGAAGGCTGGAGGCAGTGGAGATGTCATGTCTGAGGGCAATGTGTGGTGTGAATATAATGCAGAGAATTCGTAGTTTGGAAGTTAGGAGGAGGTGCGGGATTACCAAAACTGTTGTCCAGAGGGCTGAAGAAGGGTTGTTGAGGTGGTTCGGACATGTAGAGAGATTGGAGCGAAACAGAGTGACTTCAAGAGTGTATCAGTCTGTAGTGGAAGGAAGGCGGGGTAGGGGTCGGCCTAGGAAAGGTTGGAGGGAGGGGGTAAAGGAGGTTTTGTGTGCGACGGGCTTGGACTTCCAGCAGGCATGCGTGAGTGTGTTTGATAGGAGTGAATGGAGACAAATGGTTTTTAATACTTGACGTGCTGTTGGAGTGTGAGCAAAGTAACATTTATGAAGGGGTTCAGGGAAATCGGCAGGCCGGACTTGAGTCCTGGAGATGGGAAGTACAGTGCCTGCACTCTGAAGGAGGGGTGTTAATGTTGCAGTTTAAAAACTGTAGTGTAAAGCACCCTTCTGGCAAGACAGTGATGGAGTGAATGATGGTGAAAGTTTTTCTTTTTCGGGCCACCCTGCCTTTAAGGTGGGAATCGGCCAGTGTGATAAAAAAAAAATAAATGTATTATAAATATATATATAATATATATATATATAATATATATATATATATATATATATATTGTTATGTATGTATTATGTATGTATGTATGTTGTAGTAGATTGGCAGACAGCAACCGCCCAGGGAGGTACTACCATCCTGCCAAGTGAATGTAAAACGAAAGCCTGTAATTGTTTTACATGATGGTAGGATTGCTGGTGTCCATTTTTCTGTCTCATAAATATGCAAGGTTTCAGGTACGTCTTGCTACTTCTACTTACACTTAGGTCACACTACACATACATGTACAAGCACATATATACACACATCCCTCTGGGTTTTCTTCTATTTTCTTTCTAGTTCTTATTCTTGTTTATTTCCTCTTATCTCCATGGGGAAGTGGAACAGAATTCTCCCTCCGTAAGCCATGGCATGTTGTAAGAGGCAACTAAAATGCCGGGAGCAAGGGGCTAGTAACCTCTTCTCCTGTTACTATTACTAAATGTAAAAGGAGAAACTTTCGTTTTTCCTTTTGGGCCACCCCGCCTTGGTGGGATACGCCGGTGTGTTGAAAGAAAAATAATATATATATATATATATATATATATATATATATATATATATATATATTATCAGTGGACCCCGCAAAACGATTACCTCCGAATGCGACCAATTATGTAAGTGTATTTATGTAAGTGCGTTTGTACGTGTATGTTTGGGGGTCTGAAATGGACTAATCTACTTCACAATATTTCTTATGGGAACAAATTCGGTCAGTACTGGCACCTGAACATACTTCTGGAGTGAAAAAATATCGTTAACCGGGGGTCCACTGTATATATATATATATATATATATATATATATATATATATATATATTGTAGTAGTAGGTTGGTAGACAGCAACCACCAGGGGGGGTACTACCGTCCTGCCAAGTGAGTGTGAAATGAAAGCCTGTAATTGTTTTACATGATGGTAGGATTGCTGGTGTCTTTTTTTTTCTGTCTCATAAACATGCAAGATTTCAGGTACGTCTTGCTACTTCTACTTACACTTAGGTCACACTACACATACATGTACAAGCATATATATACACTCCCCTTTGGGTTTTCTTCTATTTTCTTTCCAGTTCTTGTTCTTGTTTATTTCCTCTTACCTCTATGGGGAAGTGGAACAGAATTCTTCCTCCGTAAGCCATGCGTGTTGTAAGAGGCAACTAAAATGCTGGGAGCAAGGGGCTAGTAACCTCTTCTCCTATATATATTACTAAATTTAAAAGGCGAAACTTTTGTTTTTCCTTTTGGGCCACCCCGCCTCAGTGGGATACGGCCGATGTGTTGAAAGAAAGAAAGAAATGTACATATACAGTGGACCCTGCATAACGATCACCTCCGAATGCGACCAATTATGTAAGTGTATTTATGTAAGTGCGTTTGTACGTGTATGTTTGGGGGTCTGAAATGGACTAATCTACTTCACAATATTCCTTATGGGAACAAATTCGGTCAGTACTGGCACCTGAACATACTTCTGGAGTGAAAAAATATCGTTAACCGGGGGTCCACTGTATGTACACCTACCATCCGACTTACGACCTGCTTGACTTACGACCACTCGACTTACGACCGTGTTTTTTATGCCAAATTTCTGGGAAATAAACAACTACACCTACCATCCGACTTACAACCAAGTTCGGTTCCGAGAAACCAGTTGTAAATGGAAATGGTCATAAGTCGAACTTTACTACTGAATATCAACAAAATATTTTTGTAATGACTTAATTTTATTGTTTTATTTTGGTATTTTATGTTTTACTTTACTTTTTATGTTGTTAATACTGTATTTTATACTGTAAGGTTTACCTGGAGTTTACCTGGAGAGAGTTCCGGGGGTCAACGCCCCCGCGGCCCGGTCTGTGACCAGGCCTCCTGGTGGATCAGAGCCTGATCAACCAGGCTGTTGCTGCTGGCTGCACGCAAACCAATGTACGAGCCACAGCCCGGCTGGTTAGGATAAACACTGTATACAACACAAATAGTTGTTTATTTCCCAAAAATTTGGCATAAAAAACACGGTCGTAAGCCGAGTGGTCGTAAGTCGGATGGTAGGTGTATTTGTGTTGTACACAGTGTTTATCCTAACCTTACAGTATAAAATACAGTACTAACAACATAAAAAGTAAAGTAAAACATGAAATACCAAAATAAAACAATAAAATAAAGTCATTACAAAAATGTTTTGTTGATATTCAGTAGTAAAGATTGACTTACGACCGGTTTCTCGGAACCGAACTCGGTCGTAAGTCAGATGGTAGGTGTATATATATATTGTAGATAGTAGGTTGGTAGACAGCAATCTCCCAGGGAGGTACTACCGTCCTGCCAAGTGAGTATAAAACAGAAGCCTGTAATTGTTTTACATGATGGTAGGATTGCTGGTGTCTTTTTTCTGTCTCATAAACATGCAAGATTTCAGGTACATCTTGCTACTTCTACTTACACTTTGGTCACACTACACATACATGTACAAGCATATATATACATACCCCTCTGGGTTTTCTTCTTTTTTCTTTCTAGTTCTTGTTCTTGTTTATTTCCTCTTGTCTCTGTAAGCCATGCATGTTGTAAGAGGCGACTAAAATGCCAGGAGCAAGGGGCTAGTAGCCTCTTCTCCTGTATATATTACTAAATGTGAAAGGAGAAACTTTTGTTTTTCCTTTTGGGTCATCCCGCCTCGGTGGGATACGGCTGGTGTGTTGAAAGAAAGAAGAAAGAATATATATATATATATATATGTGTGTGTGTGTGTATGATCTCTAAGGGTTCATAAATAATAAATTTAGGAATTACAAGGAGAATAAACAAGCAGTCAATTGTTACTTAAGGTTGGATTATGATTACAGGTAACAAAAAAACTCAATGCACATATGAGGCCCAAAAATTTGGAATTCATTACCTGTGAATACCAAAGAAACACTGTCTGTATATCAGTTCAAGACTCTTCTTAAAAACCACCTACTCACCCAAAACTAAATACACAGTATTTAATTTAATTTTACCTACACAGTTAACAAATCACTTTCTACTGCCTCAAAATATCATTACTCACTGTGTTACTCCCCTGACCTTAGGTCCCCATAAATAAATACTCATAGATCAATAAATTCTCATATCTAATTTAATGCAAATATTGAATAACTTATATTTCATAAATGTATAACCCAGTTGTATACTCAGAGAAACCTTACCAGACTATGTTGTTATAGCATTATCTAATAGCATAATCCATCATTCTCTTGAATGCACAGTAACTCATCTAATGCCCATATGACCTGTTACTGCACTACAGATCATTGATTTGATTAGATCTGATTAATAAATTGTACGACTACATATAATAAATTGTAAATATTGTAAATTGTTTACTATAAATGTTCCATTAATCTTAAGTTAATTTTAAGCTGCCCATAATGCTCTACATACAAGGGGCTTTTGACATGTACACCCAACTACTATAACACCTTGTACAACTATGTATCATGTCCTAATAAACTATTATTATTATTATTATTATTATTATTATTATTATTATTATTATTATTATCTGTTTGTGGTTTGAAAAAACTGCTTAGCATATTAACACATTTTTTAGGATATTTATGAAGTCACTTTCCTTTAAAGGCTTAATTTTTGGAAAATATTTGCTCAGCTATTAGTTTCTGAAGTAATGAATGTTGTTCAAACCTATATCCTGTGTGTGTGTGTGTGTGTGTGTGTGTGTGTGTTTGTTTGTTTGTTTTCGTGTGAATCAATGCATTCTTGTTGAAGGTCCTCAGCAGGTATGTCACTGCATTTCTTTTTGAAAACATTAATACAGTGGACCCCCGGTTAACGATATTTTTTTACTCCAGAAGTATGTTCAGGTGCCAGTACTGACCGAATTTGTTCCCATAAGAAATATTGTGAAGTAGATTAGTCCATTTCAGACCCCCAAACATACACGTACAAACGCACTTACATAAATACACTTACATAATTGGTCGTATTCGGAGGTAATCGTTATGCGGGGGTCCACTGTATATGACAATTTTTCATTTATGAGAACATCTGTTTTTCGATAACACATCTTTACACAATGGATGACATTACTGATGCTATTTTGCAGGTCACTTTACCTGACTTTCGAGAAGGAGATCAGTCACCATGGTATTAATGCCTACCGTTTCACTGCACCGGAGGAAATGTTACAAGCAGCTGACCAGAACCCTGACAACGCTTGCTACTGCTACCCTGACCAACAACACTGCCTGGGTAGTGGCATGCTGAACCTGCAACCTTGTGCACAAGGTGAGGTCTTCTATCATCTACCAACTAGTTACTGTGAAGGTTACAGTGTCTCCCTGATGAGTCAGCTAGTTGCAGTGAAAGTTACAGTCTCTCTCTGATGAGTCAACTAGTTACAGTGAAAGTTAGTCTCTCTCTGATGAGTCAACTAGTTACAGTGTGTCTCTGATGAGTCAGCTAGTTGCAGTGAAGGTTACAGTGTCTCTCTGATGGGTCAACTAGTTACAGTGTCTCTGATGAGTCAGCTAGTTGCAGTGAAGGTTACAGTGTCTCTCTGATGGGTCAACTAGTTACAGTGAAGGTTACAGTCTCTCTCATGAGTCAACTAGTTACAGTGAAGGTTGCAGTCTCTCATGAGTCAACTAGTTACAGTGAAGGTTGCAGTCTCTCATGAGTCAACTAGTTACAGTGAAGGTTGCAGTCTCTCATGAGTCAACTAGTTACAGTGAAGGTTACAGTCTCATGAGTCAGCTAGTTACAGTGAAGGTTACAGTCTCATGAGTCAACTAGTTACAGTGAAGGTTACAGTCTCATGAGTCAGCTAGTTACAGTGAAGGTTGCAGTCTCTCATGAGTCAACTAGTTACAGTGAAGGTTACAGTCTCATGAGTCAACTAGTTACAGTGAAGGTTGCAGTCTCTCATGAGTCAACTAGTTACAGTGAAGGTTACAGTCTCATGGGTCAACTAGTTACAGTGAAGGTTACAGTCTCATGAGTCAACTAGTTTCAGTGAAGGTTACAGTCTCTCATGAGTCAACTAGTTACAGTGAAGGTTACAGTCTCATGAGTCAACTAGTTACAGTGAAGGTTACAGTCTCATGAGTCAACTAGTTACAGTCTCATGAGTCAACTAGTTACAGTGAAGGTTATAGTCTCTCTCATGAGTCAGCTAGTTACAGTGAAGGTTACAGTCTCATGAGTCAACTAGTTACAGTGAAGGTTGCAGTCTCATGAGTCAACTAGTTACAGTCTCATGAGTCAACTAGTTACAGTGAAGGTTACAGTCTCATGAGTCAACTAGTTACAGTGAAGGTTACAGTCTCATGAGTCAGCTAGTTATATTGAATGTTACAGTCTCATGAGTCAACTAGTTACAGTGAAGGTTACAGTCTCTCATGAGTCAACTAGTTACAGTGAAGGTTACAGTCTCATGAGTCAACTAGTTACAGTGAAGGTTACAGTCTCATGAGTCAACTAGTTATAGTGAAGGTTACAGTCTCATGAGTCAACTAGTTATAGTGAAGGTTACAGTCTCATGAGTCAACTAGTTATAGTGAAGGTTACAGTCTCATGAGTCAACTAGTTATAGTGAAGGTTACAGTCTCTCTCATTGGCCAAATTACCAATTTCTGATCACTTTATTGGATAGTTTAAATAGTTGAATAGGCAGTTTCTTATATTCAGTCGATAGAATGAAAGCCATACTAGCAAAATAGCTAAGAATTTGGTCAGCTGGAACAATGAAATTGGCCTAAAATCGGACTTAAAGTGAACGAAATCACCGATGAGTAAATATTGCTGACACTGCAAAATTCGTTAGTGTAATTTTGTCAGTTTTCCATCAAATTTTGTACTTTTTGTTTTATTACCTTCAGAAAAAAAAGGTTCTCTACCATTTCATAAAAAAATATTTTTTGTTTTTAAATTCTGCGACCCTGAGAGCAAGTTTGAGAGCAGCGGTGGTGACCCTGAGAGCAAGTTTGAGAGCAGCGGTGGTGACCCTGAGAGCAAGTTTGAGAGCAGCGGTGGTGACCCTGAGAGCAAGTTTGAGAGCAGTGGTGGGGACCCTGAGAGCAAGTTTGAGAGCAGCGGTGGTGACCCTGAGAGCAAGTTTGAGAGCAGCGGTGGGGACCCTGAGAGCAAGTTTGAGAGCAGCGGTGGTGACCCTGAGAACAAGTTTGAGAGCAGCAGTGGTGACCCTGAGAGCAAGTTTGAGAGCAGCAGTGGTGACCCTGAGAGCAAGTTTGAGAGGAGCGGTGGTGACCCTGAGAGCAAGTTTGAGAGGAGCAGTGGGGGACCCTGAGAGCAAGTTTGAGAGCAGCGGTCGCGACCCTGAGAGCAAGTTTGAGAGCAGCGGTGGTGACCCTGAGAGCAAGTTTGAGAGCAGTGGTCGCAACCCTGAGAGCAAGTTTGAGAGCAGTGGTCGCGACCCTGAAAGGGTTAATCATAACATTTAGTTGTACATTCGTTGCTTTGTTCCCCAATATCACGTAGAAGGTCATGTCAGTGTTATGAGTGAATTTATTGATAGTCATCCAGGTTGATATATTTAAGAGTTCTTCAATAACAGTGTTGTTGAGGGAATTTGGATGTGGGTGGGAAACGACAAAAGTTGTGCCATTTGAGAAGAGAATGGTCTGAGTTGCTGATATACATTTAGAAGATCATTGATGTATATGAGGAATAGCGGAGGGCTGAGGACACTGCCCTGTGGGACACCTTAGTCAACAGATCTTGTTGAGGAGGGTGTGTACTTGATAGATTCTCTTGTGTGTGTGCATATGTACTCTCCTGGTGTGTATGTACTCTTCTATGTGTACTCACCTATTTGTGGTTGCAGGGGTCGATTCATAGCTCCTGGCCCCGCCTCTTTGAGTGTGTGTGTATGTGTGTATATTCTCCTATGTACTCACCTAGTTGAGGTTGCAGGGGTCGAGTCCAAGCTCCTGGCCCCGTGTGTGTGTGTGGTGTGTGTGTGTGTGTGTGTGTATGTACTCCTTTGTGTGTGTATGTACTCCTTGTATGGGTGGGGTGGGTGTGTGTGTGTGTACTCTCCTGTGTGTGTATATGTACTCCCCTATGTGTGTATGTATTGTGTGTGTGTGTGTGTGTGTGTGTGCATGTACTCTCCTGTGTGTGTGTATTTACCTATATATACTAACCTATATGTGGTTGCAGGGGTCAAGTCACAGCTCCTGGCCCCACCTCATTGCTAATCGCTACTAGGTCACTCTCTCATTGCTCCTAAAGCCTTATCATACCTCTTCTTAAAGCTATATATGGTTCTTGCCTCCACTACTTCACTCTCTAGATTATTCCACTTCCTGACAACTCTGAGGCTAAAGAAATACTTCCTAACATCCCTATGGCTCATCTGAGTTTTCAACTTCTAGTTCTGGCCCCTTGTTCCTGTGTCCCATCTCTGCAACATTCCAACCCTATCCACCTTGTCAGTTCCTCTCAGTATTTTATATATCATTATCATGTCCTCCGTATCCCTCCTATCTTCTGGTGTCATCAGGTTGGGTTTTCTTAACCTTCCCTCATAAGTCATACCCCTTAGCTCCAGGCCTAGTCTTGTTGCAAACTTTTGCACTTTCTCCAATTTCTTGACAGGTGTGGGTTCCATACTGGTGCTGCATACTCCAGTATGGGCCTGACATATACAGTGTTCAGCGTCTTCAACGACTCCTTACTTAGATGTCGAAATGCTATTCTCAGGTTTGCCAGGCGCCCATATGCTGCAGCGGTTATTTAATTGATCCTTAGCGAAGCTGACCTAACTGAGTCAGAATAAATATGCAGTTTGTACCCACTTCCACAAGTAATGTTATGAGACCCTAAAAATTTGTTTTCATCCAATTTTTTCTGTAAAACCTAATTGTCATTTCCATATTGTCAGTGTGACAGCAGTGATTCTAAGCTGCCAGTCACTACCTCATATTGTCAGTGTGACAGCAGTGATTCTAAGCTGCCAGTCACTACTCATATTGTCAGTGTGACAGCAGTGATTCTAAGCTGCCAGTCACTACCTCATATTGTCAGTGTGACAGCAGTGATTCTAAGCTGCCAGTCACTACCTCATATTGTCAGTGTGACAGCAGTGATTCTAAGCTGCCAGTCACTACCTCATATTGTCAGTGTGACAGCAGTGATTCTAAGCTGCCAGTCACTACCTCATATTGTCAGTGTGACAGCAGTGATTCTAAGCTGCCAGTCACTACCTCATATTGTCAGTGTGACAGCAGTGATTCTAAGCTGCCAGTCACTACCTCATATTGTCAGTGTGACAGCAGTGATTCTAAGCTGCCAGTCACTACCTCATATTGTCAGTGTGACAGCAGTGATTCTAAGCTGCCAGTCACTACCTCATATTGTCAGTGTGACAAGCAGTGATTCTAAGCTGCCAGTCACTACCTCATATTGTCAGTGGGCCAGCAGTGATTTTAAGCTCCCAGTAAATACCATATTTTTCAGTTGTGAAAAGCAGTGATTCTAAGTTTTCCCTTTCACCCCTCTTTGTCAGTGTGACGCAGGGTTTTCAAAGCTGCCATTTCACTCCCTAAATTTGTCATTTGTGAAAACCCGGGGTGTTTTAAAAAGGCGGGCCATTTCACTCCCTCATTTTGGGCAGTGTGACAGAAAGTGATTTAAGCTGCCAGTCATTTTCCTCATATTGTCAGTGTGCCCAGGTGTTTTAAAGCTCCCAGTCACTCCCTTTCATATTGTCAGGTGACAGCGTGATTCTAAGCTCCCAAAGTCACTCCCTCATATTGTCAGTTGGGGCCCGCAGGGATTCTAACCCGCCGTGGGTCATTCCCTTTCATATTGTCAGTGTGTCAGCAGGGATTTTTAAAACTGCCATTTCACAAACCTCATATTTTTCAGTGTGACAGAAAGTGATTTTAAAGCTCCCAGTCACAAACCTCTTTATTGCCCAGTGTGACAGCAGTGATTCTAAGCTGCCAAAAAACTACCTCATATTTTTCGTTGTGACAGCAGTGATTTTAAGCTCCCAAAGTATCCCTCATTTTGCCCGGGGGGACAGCAGGGATTCTAAGCTCCCAGTAAATACCAAATATTGTCAGTGTGACAGCATTTGGATTCAAGGGTGCCAGTATTTCCTCATATTGTCGTGTGACGCAGGTGATTCTAAGCTCCCCGTAAATACCTCTATTGCCCAGGGGTGACAGCAGTGATTTTTAAGGGCCGTCTCCTTTAATATTGTCAGTGTGACAGAGGGGTTCTAAGCTCCCGGGCCCTCCCTTCATATTGCCCCTTGTGACCCCTTGGGTGATTTTTAAAGCTGCCAGTCACTTACCTCATTTTGGTCAGTGTGACGCATTTATTCTAAGCTCCCAGTCACTATCATTTTGTCAGGGGTGACAGCGGGATTCCCTAAGCTGCCGTCACTCCCCATATTGCCCGGGTGACAGCAGTGATTCAAAAGCGGCCGTCACTACCCCCTATTGTGTGTGACAGCGTGATTTTAAGCGCCGTCACTCCCTAATATTGTCAGGGGGGACAGCAGTTATTTTTTAAAGCCCCAGCCCACTACCTCATTTTGTCAGTGTGACAGCAGTGATTCTAAGCTCCCAGTCCCCTACCTCATATTGCCCAGTGGGGGACAGCAGTGTTCTAAGCTGCCAGTCATACCTAAATATTGTCGGGTGTGACAGCAGTGATTCTAAGCTGCCGGGCACTACCTCAATTGTCAGTGTGACAGCAGGGTTTCCCCTAAGCGGGCCAAAGTCACTCCCTCATTTTGGTCAGTGTGACGAGTGATTCAAAAGCTGCCAGTAACTACCTCATATTGTCAGTGTGCCCAGCGTATTCTAAGTGCCTCCCTACCTCATATTGTAAAGTGGGGACAGCAGTGTTTTAAGTTTCCAGTAAATACCTCATATTGTCAGGTGTGCAGCAGTGATTTTTAAGCTGCCGTCATCCTCAAAATTGTCAGTTGACAGCAGTTGATTTAAGTGCCAGTCACAAACCTAAATATTGTCGTTGTGACAGCATTTGATTCTAAGCTGCCAGTCCCCCCCCTCATTTTGGTCATTGGGGGACGCAGTGTTCTAAGCTGCCGTAAACTACTCATATTGTCGTGTGACGAAAGTGTTCTAACTCCCATTTCCACACCTTATTTTTCAGTGTGACAGCAGTGTTTTCAAAAGTGCCAGTCACACATCATTTGTCAGTGTAAACAGCAGTGATTCTAAGCTCCCGTCACTACCTAAATTTTGTCGTGTGACAGCAGTGATTCAAAGGGCTCCCAAATTTCACTCCCTCATTTTGGCAGTGGGACAGCAGTGATTCAAAGGGCTGCCTTCCCATTTCCTCATTTTGTCAGTGTGCGCATTTGATTTAAGTCCCAGTCACTCCCCATATTGTCGGGCTTTGTGAAAACCCAGTGTTTCCCTAAGTGCCAGTCACTACCTCATATTGTCAGTGTGAAAAGCGTGTTTCAAAAGTCCCAGACTCCCTCATTTTGTGTGTGACAGCTGGTTCTAAGTGCCGTCACTCCCCAAATTTTGTCAGTGTGCAGCAGTGATTCTAAGTGCCATTCATCCCTCATTTTGTCAGTGTGACAGCAGTGATTCTAAGCCCCAGTCACCCCTTTATATTGCCCAGTGTGACACCCAGGGGTTTTTAAACTCCCAGTCATTTCCTAAAATTGTCAGTGTGACAGCAGGATTCTAAGCGGGCCAGTCATTTACCCCCCTATTGTCAGTGTGACAGAGTGATTCAAAGCTGCCAGTCATCCCTCATTTTTGTCAGTGTGCCCAGCGGTTTCCCAAAGGGTGCCAGTCACTCCCTCTTTTGTCAGTGGGGACAGCGTGATTCTAAGTCCCAGTCACTACCCCATATTGCCCAGTGGGGACAGCAGTGATTTTTTTAAGCTGCCAGTCACTCCCTTATTGTCATGTGACACCCAAGTGATTCTAAGCTCCCAGTCAAAACCTTCTATTGCCAGTGTGACAGCAGTGATTCAAGTTTGCCAGTCACTCCCTCATATTGTCAGTGTGACAGCAGTGATTCTAAGCTCCCGTCACTACCTCATATTGTCAGTGTGACAGCAGTGATTCTAAGCTCCCCAGCCCTTACCCCAATTGCCCTTTGTGACAGCAGTGTTTTCAAAGTGCCAGGCATACCCTCATTTTTGTCAGTGGGGACAGCAGTGATTTAAGCTGCCGTCACTACCTAAATATTGTCAGTGGGGACAGCAGTAAGGATTCAAATAGTCCCCGTCACTACCTCATATTGCCCAGTGTGACAGCGTGATTCTAAGCTGCCAGTCCTCTAATTTAATATTGTCAGTGTGCGCAGTGTTTCTAAGCTGCCAGTCATTCCTCATATTGTCAGTGGGGGACAGCAGTGATTTTAAGTCCCGGGTACTACCTCTTTTATTGTCTTTGTGACAGCGTGTTTTTAAGTGCCGTCACTACCTCATATTGTCAGTGTAAACAGCAGTGATTTCTAAGCTGCCAGTCACTCCCCTCATTTGTAAAGTGTGCCCGCAGTAAATTTCAAGCTGCCACCCACTCCCTCATATTTTTCTTTGTGACAGCAGTGATTTTTTTAACTCCCCGCCCATTTACCTCATTTTGTCGTGTGACACCCCAGTGATTTTTGCTCCCAGCCCACTCCCTTTCTATTGTCGGGTTTTGACACCCAGTGATTCAAGGGGCCATTTCACTACCTCATATTGCCCAGTGTGCCGGGCAGTGTTTAAAAGTTTCCCTGTCCCCTACCTCTTTATTGTAAATTTGTAAACACCCGTGATTCTAAGCTGCCAAGCCCTTTAACCTATATTGTCAGGGTGACAGAGTGATTTAAGCTCCCAGTCACTACCTCATATTGTCAGTGGGACAGCAGTGATTTTTAAGCTGCCAGTCCCCTTACCTATTTGTCATTGTGACAGCTAATTGTTTTCTAAGCGGGCCAGTCCTACCTAAATATTGTCAGTGTGACAGCAGTGATTTTAAGCTGCCAGTAAAACTACCTCATTTGTCAGTGTGACAGCAGTGATTCAAAGGCTGCCGGTCACTACCTTATTGTCAGTGTGACAGAGGGGTTTTCTAAGCTGCCAGTAAACCTACCTCTTATTGTCAGTTTGAAAGCGTATTCAAAAGCTGCCATTTCATACCTCATTTTGGGCAGTGTGAAAGCAGTGATTCAAAAGCTCCCGTCATCCCTCATATTGCCCAAGTGTGACACAGGTATTCTAAGTCCCAAGTCAAAACCTTTTATTGTCAGTGGGGACAGCAGTGATTCAAAGCTGCCAGTCACTCCCCTCTATTGTCAGTGGGGCCCGCAGTTGTTTTAAAGGGGCCCCCGTCACTACCTCATATTGTCATGTGACAGCGTGTTTCTAAGCTCCCAGTAAAATCCCTCATATTGCAGTGTGACAGCAGGATTCTAAGCTGCAGTCATACCTCATATTGTCAGTGGGACCCCCGGGTGATTTAAGCTCCCCAGTAACTACCCTAAATATTGTCAGTGTGACAGCAGCCCCAGTTTTTTTTAAGTTGCCGTCCTACCTCATATTGTCGTGTGACAGCGTGATTCTAAGTGCCGCCTTACCTCATTTTGCCCAGTGTGCAGAAAAGTGATTCAAAACCCTGCAGTCATCCCTATTTTGGGCATTTGTGCCCCCAGTGATTCTAAGTCCCAAAGGCCTACCTTTTTTGTCAGTGTGAAGCGTGTTCCCTAATTTTTGCCAGTCCCTACCTCATATTGTCGTGTGACAGCAGTGATTTTTAAAGTCCCGAAAATCCCTCATTTTTGTCAGTGTGACTCCCAGTGATTTTTAAGCTCCCAAGTCACTACCCCCATATTGCCCGTGTGACGGGCAGTGATTTAAGTTTGCCGTCATACCCAATTTTCGGGTGTAAACAGAGTGATTCTAAGTGCAGTACTACCTCTTATTGCCATTTGTGACAGTTTTTGTTTTCTAACCCTGCCGCCCATCCCTTTCATATTTTTCAGTTTGACAGCAGTGTTTTAAGTGCCAGTCCTACCTCTTATTGTCAGTGTGACAGCAGTGTTTCCCAAAGTCCCGTCACTACCCCCATTTTGCCCTTTTTGGGGCACCCGTGTTTTCAAGCTGCCAGTCCTCCCTTCATTTTGGGTCAGTTTTGACGGGCAGGGTTTCTAAGCTGCCGCCCATTTACCTCATTTTGTCCTTTGGGGACGCATGATTCAAAAGCTGCCAGTCATTTATTTTCATTTTGTCATTTGTGACAGCAGGGGTATTCTAAGCTCCCAGTCACTACTCATTTTGTCAGGGTGCCAGCGTGTTTCAAAGTCCCAGTCACAAACCTCATATTGTTTGTGTGACAGCGTGATTTAAGCTCCCAACACTACCTCTTTTGTCAGTGTGACAGCAGTGTTTT